GATATTTTAATGTCGCCTAAAGGATATTCTTTAAGCCAAGATCCATTTATTAGGCAATGCATCTGAAAACATGTAAGGGTTTAGGGGATATTCCTTAGATCCATGGCCCTGAATGAAATCCTACACCCAAAATCACAGGGGAAATCACATGGTGGGATCCTAATCTGCTTCAAGCCGTTAGCATAGAGAAAATACCAGACATCAAGCCAGGTATCCTGAAAAAAAGGTATGGTATAGAGGTCTGGGTAATTCTGAGGTTCCTAAACCCTAGGGTTTGGGGTTTAGGGCAAACCCTGAATTTTCGAACCCCAAACCCCCAAAAGCTTAGGGCTTAGGGTCTAGGATTCAAGGTTGCAGCCGATGTGTGTTCCGTGAAGCCCACGGGCGTGTGTAAAAGGACAGATAAAGGCTCCAGCCCTGGTGAATCCGTAGATGCTGAAGTGGAACAGGTGGATGGTTAAGGGCTTAGGGTTTAAGGTCTAGGGTTTCAGCTTTGGGGTTTAGGGGCTTACAATTCTCTCAGACCTTTTCACGAACACCTCTCACACGAAGAAGCCAATGCTGCCTACTTTGGTTTTGGGGCTACTGCCTCAAGACGGCCCGCACCCTGGTGTATGCAAAGCGCCAAACATTCCCAAACTAACTTGGACTCTGGTTTTCCAGCGCAACTCATCCATCTTGGGGTCTGTGCAAACAAGCTTCTGGACTTGAATGCTCAGTTCAGCAACTGCAAGCCCAACACACCTACAGTCCTTCCATCCTCCACTCCAGATGTAGGAGATCGAAAACTACAGTAATACCCCAGTGTACCCTAAACCCTAGACCCTAAACCCTGAAACTCCTGAACCTTCAACAGCCTAGCCCCTACCTGGACCCCCAAAGCAGGTAATAATGGCACCACACACAGAACCAGTCTAAAAGACAGTTATGATACATACTACCTACCTGTGGGTCCAGGTACATAGACACACTACCCGGAACAGGCAGGTTTCCACAAAGCTGGCTTCTTCTTCCTCCTCCTGGACTTGTGGAACAGGATTTGAAGTGTGCGTTTTGGGGCAAAAAGAACATAAGTATAAAGCTCTTGGGAGTGGGGCCGCAAGTTTTGACCTCTCTCGTTGTATCGCCTGGAGACAATCGATGCGCAATTCCAAAGTAGGGCAATTTGCATGTATCTGAAACCCTAAACCCTGCACCCGGAGTCAGCCCTCAGTGCATATATCACCCACCCCGATAAATCTAAACATACTTTACCCTCCTCATCTCACATGCAACCCCGAAGAGCCCTACAAACACGACAAGCCTTTGAAGAAGATGACTGCGGGGGGGAGGGGGGGGGTCTATCTTGGAGAAAAAGCAAAGCAAGGATGCCTGGTGACCTTCTCAAGAATTAGACTAGGGCTAGCCCCCACTGCCACAAACAGCATCCTTTAGGTGGACCCCCCACCCAGCAATAGTGACTATAAGGGATAATGGGGATTAATTGTTAGGGTCCTCTGATATTCTTATCATAGTACTATTGCAGGGTGGGGGGTCCTCCTAAAGCATCCTGCCTACGTCTTGAAAAGCCGTGTCATAATGCTTTAAGGTCCACTGGGGCAGTGCCTGCAAAAGCCCATCATTTTTTGCGCGAGCGCTTGTATAAGTCCGGTACCCTGAACATCCTGTTCTCCAAGCCCAAACCCCTTAGCTCCTTAAAGCCCCTAAACCTTTTGAACCCTTTGCTCTGCTCCTTCCGCGCGCCTCTGAATCTCAGTAGGGTTAAGGGAAAAAAGAGGATTGTAGGGTCCTTTTTAGGGCCTTCCGGATCCAGGGGGTGTAGGTTGAGAAGGTCTGACCCTAAACCCTAAACTCTGAGTCCTCGCGAATCACCAGGCTCTTGTCTCCATTAGCTGCCTTGAGCTCCTTTTGCTAAAGCCGCATGGTTAAGGTTTTTAGTGCGTCAGGTTGGTTGTCGGGGTTTTAAGGTTTTGGGTTCTGGGCTAAGACTTTAATTCAATTTTTTCCTGCACGTCCTAAGCCCAAAGCCCTAAGCCCCTATCTCGCCGATGCCTAATTTAGGGCTTAACGGCCAAGTATGGGTGTTTAATGGGGGGGTCCACGGAGCCTGGGCCCCAAACCCCCGTAGGTATAGTCTAAACTCCATAAAGGGTGATATATAGGGGATTTTCAAGGGTTTAGGATTTAGGGTCTGTAGGGTTTAAACTCCTGAAAGGGGGATACATAGGGGAGTATTATGGGGTCTATTCAGGGGATGCTAGGAGTTTGAACTATAGCTGATGTAGAATCATGGATTTCGGGACTGTTCTCAGGGGTTTGGGCCATTAATTTTCCATTTGGGGTCCAGGTTGTACTTGCCACAGGACCATAGGAAGAAACGATCCCGCGTGAACAAACCCAACGTAGATCACATTTGAGCTAAAGTCTAATCTCCAAGTATTCCCCTTAATATCCGCTATCATAGTCCCCTATATAACCCCTGTATAACACCCTTTCCGGAGTTTAGACTATAGTTCATATACTCCGATAACTCTCACGATCTGATCCACATCTTTCCCGAAAGTTGCAAGGAGTTCGCCGCTAATTCCGGCGCAAAGAGAAAGGTCTGAAACATTGCTTCATCAGAATCGCTACAATATCTTGACAGGCTTGCCCAATGCTCCGTGCTAGCATTTTCTAGGAAGCAGTTATGCTCCCCCCTGAATGATTTGGGAGAGCCGCTCTTGTTTGAAGAAGTCCAACTTTTCTGGACTCTATATACTTGGAATAGGATTAGAAATGCAATTTGATGCTCGTTCTTGGGTTTCAGCGAAGAAAATCTTATTCCAAAGAAGCTATGTTCAACATTGACCCAAAGTTGTTCCCCCTAAACCCTAGACCCCCGAAAACCTGAACCCTAAACCCAAATTTGTTCCCCCAAAACCCTAAACCCCAACCCAAAACCACGTGCATGATGGCGCCTGCTGGAGGCCGGCGGCAGAGATGATGGTGATGAGATCCTCCGGGGGCTGGGGTCTAGGGTTTAAGATGATGGTTCTGAGAACCTCTTGGGGGGGGGTAGCTAGTAACAATGGAAAAGAATGACGGGAAACTACTGTACAATTGAGGGTTTGAGCCCACGTCGTCAGTAGGTGAGACTTCGGGGTTACTGGGCTTACGAGGGCTCAGGGTGTCGAGGCTGAACACTGGAAGCAGCCGTACAACAATACCTTGCGCCTTGCGCCAATGGTAGTCCTTCTGAAGGGGACCCAAAAATGGCCCAAAAAGGGCTCATAATTTCCGAAAACCCTAACCCTACCCCAAACTCTAAACCCCAAACCCTAATTAACCCCCAAATCCTGAAACCCTAAACCCTAAGCCCTAAAATCCCTGAACTCTCAGAAAACCTAGAAGCTCCGGATTTCCCCACCCTTCCCCACCGGTTGTGTCCAGCATGGCAATGGGACGAAGCCGCAGTCACGAGTGGAACTCTCCCAGATTGTGCTCGAAACGCTGCGGAGATTTAAGGTTTTGGGCTTAAGGTTTCAGATGTAAGGTTTAGGGTTTAGGGCTGAGGATTTATGGTACAGGATGTAGAGTTTAGGTTTAGGGTTTAGGATGTCAGGATTCTTCACCCCAACAATGGAGAATCAAATGGAAAAGAAAATGGAACATGAAATGGCATGTAACATACAAAGGCGTTTACAGACTTGCAAGCGTTGGATGGAAGAGGCTCATGTGGTATTCTGCTTTTAGCCTGCGGAGCTTTAAAAACACGAACTCTTCAAAACAAGCTACATGGGTATTTCCCAAGATTATAAGGCCTAGCCATACACCACACGCAACCATCTATCCTAATTTACCCTAAACCCTAACCCTGAACCCTAAAACCCTAAACCCTAAACTCCTAAACCCTAAAACACTAAACCCTAAAACACTAAACCCTAAAACCCTAAAACCCTAAACCCTAAAATACTAAACCCTAAAACACTAAACCCTAAAACCCTAAAACCCTAAATCCTAAAACCATAAAAAACTAAACCCAAAAACCCAAAACCTAGGCTCTCCCAAAAGGGCACCACAATTTTTGGAAACTCAAAAGTCACCTCAGGAGCTTTCTCTGCACCAGCTACTGACTTTTTTGGATCTCGAAGCCGGGAAGCCCTAAGCCCTAAGTCCTACCTGAACCCCAAAAGAGTAGCGTTTTTTTTGGTGGTTGAACCCAGTAGGATAATAGTCCTTATATAAAATACTATACCCCAAAAGGAGGATATGATCTTACTCTATATTGGGTACCATAGTATCCCCAAATAAACTACTGCTCAAAAGTATGTAGAATGATGGCCATTCGGGCTACATCTGGGTGTTTCTGGCGATTGTTCTACCTACTTTTGGGGCACCAAAAACATCTCAAAGCCCTAACCCGCGGAGGGCTTCAATCTGACCCATGGTTTTAACTTATTGTCCAAAGCCCAAAGTGGGCACCTAACATATACACTCATCGAGCATCCTAAGCAGCCCGCTGTATACAATCACCAATGTCCGGAATACGAGCCTACATCATCCGCACTTCAATGCTTCGGGATTCTAAAGATGATATATACGGGCATCACGCACAATGCTTAACCTTCAGGAGTGCTGGGAGGCACAAAACGTGTACGTGACCTTTTGCACTCTTGACCAGAGCCCCCAGATTCAGAAACCTTCTACTCAGCATAGCGTTTTCCCACATCGATGCCTCCACCTGGGAGTTTGCCAAAATAGGGGGACCCCAATATGGACCCCAACATACTATAACCCTTATTCTAGGGATCCCCACAAAGGTTCTCATAATTTTGGGATCCCTCCACCTGTTGGTTTTTTAGATGCTGCATCCTGGCATCTCTTGCGGGGCGGCAACCGCAGGAATGTGACGCTGCCAAACTAAGCTTGCAGAGTATCCCATACATTCCCCAATGCTCCATCCTACGCCCTCTTCCCTCCGGACCCTTCAAATCGGGTTCTCAGCTTTTCGGAAGCGCTTCCGTGTCGTCTGCGTCTGCACGACCCGTCTCGTCTTTAGAGCCGTCCATGCTGAAAAGCTCATCGGCAGGGATGGGGTCCAAGCTGTCAGCCTTTCATTTCAACGTGGCACTTAGAACTCCTACTAATTAAGGGTTAACCCTTATGTACCTGTAATAGGGAATCCCAAAGGGTTAATGGTCTAAGATCCAAGCTAAGCCCCTTTCATGTAGCTTTCAAAGAACTAGGAACCTGAAATATCTGCAATTGAGCTATATAGTCCAAACTCCTTAAAGGCGGTTGTATAGGGGATTACATGGGAGAGCATTGTAGGGGGTTATTAAGAGGAACACTAGGAGTTTAGACTATAGCTCATTTCAAGTCTGCTCCTTCCAGGCATTTCTCGACCCTAAACCCTACACCCTAAAACCTAGCAATTGCTAGCAGATGTGGCCCCGACAAAATTCCTACGCAACAAGCTCTCAACCTCAAGAATTGACATTTTTCTACCTGAGCCCTTCTGCGTGCGGGTTTATATATAGAACCCCTCAAGTAGATAGAACATGGGGTCTCGGGTTTAGGGTTTAGGGTTAGCTCCAATGCAAGCCACATGTTGTCAGATGCCATACCCAGCAGTGACCCCAAGACCCGGATCTGTATCATAGGCTGAACAACCACCGAGCTCCCCACTCGAACCTTGAGGCAGATGGTATTCGAGGACTAGGACCTGGTTCCCAAACTCCTGCCCACACATCCAACACCACGTTTTGTACCATAATCACAGACTTCCTCCACGGTCCACACCTAGCACCGTTAATCCTAAACCCCTAAACCCATTATAATATGGTAGTTTCCATTTTCTTTTCCATCATCCCCATATAAGCCCAGTATTATAATAGTTTCCATTAAGCCCTACACCGAAGCCCTATATAAACCTATACAGCAACCCAAAGCCGAACTTCGCACCAAGCGTCCAAGTGATTTCTGGCATCTGCCGACAGGTCGAAGGTTCCACGGTCAATCAGCAGGTAGCCTGCAGCTAGGGACCAGTTGCTAGATGGCATAACTAAATTACATCCCCTTGGAATTATGTAGGCATTCTTGATGCAACTTCCACATACCCGGCCACAATCTCTGGCCATTTCAGGAGATCTCATACGGGGAAAACCCGAGCTTAGCAGGCAGTATCATGATTTGTATTTTAGTGTTTAGGGATGTTTAGGGTTTAGGGTAAGGGACACCCTTTGCAGGGTCAGGGCATTAGGCTTAAGGAAGTTTAAGGGTTTAGGGTTCAGCATCTCAAGTCCAAGCATTCACTTGTTCAACAGCTTTGTCAAGCGGCGGGCAAGTAACCACCCGCCCCTTGGGTCCGACATCATTAAGAAAAACCTCTACGCAATCTCTATTGACTCTATTGCTTTTATGTGGTAACAACCTTCCGTACTCCACAAACGAATATTGATGATCTCAATCTGCCTCATTGCGAATGGCACCCTAAAGAGGAATGCTGTATGAGGAACCCAACCGAGAAAAAAAAACGCAGCAGCCACCCTGAGACGAAGACGTTAAAGTGCCCAGGGAGGAAGCTTCCAGCAAAAATCCATAAAGCGGGAACCCTTTAGTAGAAACTCTCAAGCAGAAACCCCAAGCCCGCAAGCACACCCCGAAAGCAAGCAACCCCTAAGAGAGGAAGCCTCCAGCAGGCCTTAGCCCTGAACCCTAAACCCTAAGTAGTAGTTTCCATTTTCTGTTCCAGTATCCCTGAATATAGCCCCAATATACTATTGTAGTTTCCAACTCATTTTCCATTATAACCCTAAACCCTAAAGCAGGCCCGACGCCTTTGAGTCCCTGAAGCAGGCCCTCCCCTGACTCTGAAGCAAGCCTCGAGCTCCGAACCTTAGCCCGTGGCCCTAAGTAAACCCAAAGCAGCAAGCCCTGAGCCCTGAAGCTTTCGGTCATCAACCTACTGCAGGCCCCTAGCCTTCAACCCCAAAACAGGCGCTTAGCGGATTTCATGGCTGGTCCTGGAAGCTGCCGCAGCAGGTTTTGGGAGGCCCTTGCCCCCTGAGACCCACGAAAATGTGCGCGCTAGAGGCCCCTGAAGCGCCTAGGACTGCTCGCAAATCCATTGAGGTGTGAAGTACTGTATGGAAGAGAAGTTCGGGTAAGGTAGAGCGCAATGTTCAATGTAGCACACGCACCTACCCATATGAAGATTTGTAGTGGTAGGGTATTGACCTCACGTCTGACAGCATCCAACATCAATCTAGAAACAGGCATGGCGATGTATAGCTAAAAATCCTAGGAAGCAATCTTAAACCCTGTAGACTGTAGACTGTAGACCATCCTGCAAAACCCAAACCCTAGACACCATAACCCTGATCCCACAACCCTGTAGACCCTAAACCCTCAACCCCATAGACCCTAAACCCCAAACCCTAAGTCTCTGCCCTAAACCTTGGGTTTGAGGATAACTCAAAGTTCAGGGATAACTAAAGATGCATACTATTCCGGGACATCTGGGCGCAACGCAGTCTTTCTACAGTTAGAAGTGCATTGCAAATTCCATCTCCTTTTCTATTCTCCATTCCAGTTGATTCCCCACGAACCCTCAACCCCTAAACCGTAAACCATCAAGCCGAGAAACGACGTGGAGTCGAAGACTGCGAAGCGCAGTTGTACAGCACCTGCCAGTCCTCCATCAAGAAAGGTGTGCTGTAGGAGGACCTCCCACCCTGTAATAGTGACTATAAGGGATAATAAGGATGATATTAGCGTCCTATTATATTCCTACTATACCACTATTACAGGGTGGGGGTCCTCCTAAAGCTTAGAATGATAGCCCAAAAGGCCATTATCCTACATACTTTTGGGGTTCAGGTAGGGTTTGGGTGTTTAGGGGCTTGCCGCTTCGTAATTTCCATCCCTGGGGGGCGCCTTAATCCTCTCCCCGTAATATTAAGCCCCCCCACCCCACCTAATACTAACTTAATAAATACTCCCAACATACTATGATATACCACAATGGGGAGTATTTAATTTTAGGGGGGTGAAGGAGGGTTGATATTAGGGGGAGAGGGGTAATCTAGACCTCATTTTATGAAGAATCCCTTGCATAGGGACCCCCCAAAATGGGATTCCCAGTTTTCAGAAAACTCCGAACCCTTAAGCCGAGCCATAGCCCCAGTTTCCACGGCGTACTCCATTTGTTTATTTGCGTCTCCACCCTAAACCCTAAATCAACATACCATCCTTCAACCCTAAAGTGGTCGTCATAGACTGAGTGAACTTGCGCTGCGATCCCTCATATCCGCAGTAGAGGGTACGAGGAGGATCTAGGCAATCATGGTGTCGATTGTTATGAGGGAACACCGAAACCTGGGACCTGCCAAATTGCATGTAAGCTGGGCCCATTTGAGACGCTTCTCTGAATTTGACTCCCATTGGTCTGGTTGAACGTCCCGAAACTTCCGGCATGTTACCTTGCGATGCTGCATGGCCATGACAAAGCCCCAACAGGTTAAGGTTTGGGGTTTAGGATAGATAGGCGTATTAGGAAACACCCGTGTCATCTATAATGCTTTTACTGGTTGTAGAACCTAAAGACCTAGAGGATATTACCTGGTTATGACTTGGCGTTGTCCCTACAAAAACTCTTGCATGATGCTGCGATCCAAGTGCCCATGGTTCCGGTACAGATTGGGTGTTGCCGTGTTTCTGAGTTTATGGCTCTAGAATTGTGGTTGTGGGATCAAATGTGCGCAGGCGGTACCTTTCAAGGGCATTCCTGCCAGCTTTAACTCGTCACAGGGTGCGGGGGCTTCTCTGACCAATAATGGCACCCTTACTTGGAGGTTCAGGGAAACTTAGTAGGAAGGCTAGTAACCTCGGTAAGCCATATAACAACCCCAGTTATCCCTACTATCAGCCCAGTTACTTAGTCCCCCTGGCCCTCCAGGTACTTTTGCAGCATGTTGTAGCAATCTCATGGAGCTGCCAACCTCATTGGCCATGATGACGGAGTAGAACTGCCTTGAAGATCTAGGTGAAGGCAGACTGCGAAAAGCTAGTGTTCCTTATGATTAAAAAACTACACACTTGCTACATAAATGTTAGGGCCTGATTAGTCTACTGGACGCCCCCCACTCCACTCCAAACGAACTTGGGAGCCTCATAGTCGTAATTTTAATATTTAAATCAATACGAGGAAGGCCAGGAGGGGACTTGCGGAGCTCAGTAGGCTTTGCTGAATTAAATTCGCTAGCAGGGCGGTTGCCCAGCTCAGTACAGTAGCCTTCTCGGATTAAATTCAGCAAGAGTGGTTGCGGAGCTCAGTAGACGTGGCCGTTTTAGATTGATTCCAATAGCATTCTGGTGGGAGCAGCTTGGACTAGGATGTATTTACTGCATGAGCCCCATTAACAGGTCAAGTGAGACCGAATTAGTAACCAGGGTTCAGAAAAAAACACATATTTGCATTTTACCTTGGAGTCTGCAAAACCAAAACCAGCACAGTACGGAGACCTCCCTCAGGTAGTCCGCTTAGCACAACTCAAATTCACCCTACACGCGAAACCCCTTCCAGGACCCTCCTTGCACCCTTAATTTGGGAGATATGGTCCCCAATAGTGGGTACTTAGGCCCTAATAGAGTGTAGGAGGAGGGTCTAGGTTTGTAATTCTTGAGACTGCTGCAGGTTTTGCCACGTCCGACATGCCGAACTCAGACAAGGCGCTGGAAGTTTGCGATGTCGCCTCCCATTGGGTGGATGTCAAAATTATGATCCCTCTTTGGGTACCCTAAATACTAGGTGCCGTATTATAATCGGGATCCAAAAAGCGGACTATAATTTTGACAACCACCCAATTATGCATGGTCCCCCTGGGTGGTCCCCCCCTAGCTTCGCGGTTTAAAGATTAGGGGTTTAGAGTTAAAGGTTTGAATTAACCTGACTTGAACACTAGTTATCGATCCCTGGATAACCCGGATGAAGGGGGAACCTCGATGGGTTAGTATGTGGGGGCAGCGGAGGAACCCATGAATCATGGTAGGATAGTTGGAAAGGCCTACAAGATGGGTTTACGGTTGGAGAGGTCAGTTAGCACGTTCTGCCGTGTGGCTGGGTGTGGGAAACATTTGAGCTACTGTCTAAACTCCTAGTATCCTCCTTAATAACCCCTATAGTAACACAGAAGTCCCCTATATAATCCCCTATATAACCCCATTTAAGGAGTTTAGACTATAGCTCATTTGAACATAGGATTGCAAAATGAAATTGGAAACGACTTTGCGAGCATCTTGAGACTATGATGTACGGTAGGACTTGGGTTGGGCCCCCACCCAGAAATAGTGGTATATTAGGAATATATGAGGACCCGAACATAATTACCATTACCTTTTGTGGTCAGTATTAGTGGGTGGGGGCCCAACCTCGGGTAGGACTATGAAGAAAAGCATCCCTCAAGCCTCTGACCCTAGACTAGGGTGTAGGGTTTAGGGTTAAGGGTTTCGGCCTAAACCCTAAACCCTAGACCTCTAACCACGCACCAATGTCCGGGCACAGCGGCCGCTAGCGGCCTTCATGTCAGCTAGCTCATTGCTACCCTTCCTGAGCCCAGGCCCTTTGTTGACGCGGCCAGTGCTTGCCGACCTAGACACACAAGTTCGTAACAAGTTTCAATGGGATTCCGGCAGTCAAAGCGCGGGACTTCTGAACTCGCTCCGATTTCCATTCTTTCATGCACGTCGGTAGTTCCCTTAACGTGCTGAAGATTGCGAGATGCTTCGATGAAGCGATGGACGATCTGGAACATCACGTGCTCTGCTGTTCGACATGGTTCTCTGCAGCAAGCCTTTTGGAAAAAAACCTTCCCCATCCAGAAACCTCAACATGCGATCCACCGAATCTTGATCGTAGCCATAGGGCCCTGCTTCTGTCAAATCTTTGCCCAGACCTCTCCAATAGTAGTGCCGTAAGGGGAACATAAAGTTGGACTCTGGCAGATCATCAAGCAACTCCTGCCATTCTGTGAGAGCAACTTGGCGAAGGCGGCGGCAAACGACTCCAGATGAGGCCACCTATTGTCATGATTATGACTGTTGCTAGTACTGTTTTATTAGGATTATCGTTATTATGATTATTTCTATTTATCTATAGATAGATAGGTATATATGTATATATATCTCTCGTATATTTTTTAAAAGAGGCCACCAAGCCCATGAGAACTGCAGATGGCAAAAAGCAAGCAGCGGGCTTGCAGGTGTCGTCATCAATGCGAGCCACAATAGCTTTGGCAACCTCCTCACATGGAAACAGCCGTAAGCTTCCAGCTCCATGCCAGACTCCAAGCTGAAGTGTACCTAAAACATAGCGAATAAGCCAGTCTTGCACATTAGACGCTCCAGTCACGCGGTCCGGACCTACCATCCCAAGCTGTAGAATGCTGCCTTCCATGCCGCGGGACAGCGCTTCCTGCACGAGGCTTTCTGCTGCCTGCTTTGTCTGCCCATATCCGGAGGTGCTGCGAGATTTCTGTGCAGACGCGGTGGAAATAAGCACAAACTTCGTGGGCGCCAAAGTGGCCAGACGCAAGAGGCGTCGGGTCCCTGCGACATTTGTAGCCTCCAAAGCACCGTAGCTCTGCAAATGGTGCACCTCTGCGGCCACGTGGAGTATGATACCTCCTGCAAGGTCACGGAATTCCTCCTCAGCAAGCCCGAAGCAATCTTCAGACAGGTCGCCAGCAACCACTTGCACGACGTCCACCTCCACCTGTTCAGCTGCCTCAACGTAGCCACGCCGCATCAGCGTTTTACAGAGACGCGTTTTGGCTGCGGCATGGGACGGGCCCCGCACCAAAGCCGTCACTGGGAACTTTGAAGTTGTCACTAGAAGCTGCAGCACACATGCACCTACGTGGCCAGTTGCTCCAGTCAGGAAGATTTTGGAGGATCTGTCGCCTGGTCTCGGGACGAAGTCTCCTAAACCCAGTAGCTCTTGATGAGTGCTGAGGGGAAGTTGCTGCCTCCCTTCGACGTGAGCCTTCATCACCACCAACGGTGGTTTCTGCAATAGGTGGACCACCGACACATCCACCCCAAAGGAAATTCTGATAGCATGCGTTGCGCTCACTGCTGCAACGCTCGTTAGATTGAGGTTTTGCCATGCCTCCTCATCAGTTCCCTGCCGAATCAATCGCACTACCTCATGCTCTGTCTTGCCATCTGTCTTTCCTGCCTCCAACATTTCCCGGATAGCTTCTCCGAATTGCTCCAAGATCTTCCTTCGGCAGAGCTTCCCAGTTGACGTCAAAAGTCCGTTGTGTGCATCCCAAGCCTCCGATGTGACATGTACCGCCTTGGGTGTCTCAAAATGGCGAGCACCTGCTTTCACCATGACGCAGCGGAATGCATCAAGCACTTGCTCAGGAGGCACTTTTGCAACAGCTACAGCCACAACGCAATCATGCGCAGAGTCTCCATGCACCAATACCTGCTTCACTTCTGGGCACTCCAGGAGAATTGCCTCCACAGCCTCTGGCGACACCCACTCACCATTGTTGAGCTTGAAGAACGCCTTTTTCCGATCAATTACACGCAAGTGCTTGGGGTCAGGCATCTCGCCGATGTCACCTGTGCGGAAAAAGCCATCAGATGTGAAGGTTTCATTGGTGATGTCAGGGCGGTTCAAGTACCCAGCAGCCATGCGGTGCGTTTTTACACAGATTTCCCCACGTGGCGGAATATCTGTGCTCTTGTACACGCCGAAATCTTCCAGTCGCACCTGCACGCCGTCCTTGATGGGCTGCAGCTGGCCTGTTGTACCACCTGTGATGCCTCCCGCTTCAGTGAGACCATAGTTCTCACTCACCTCTGCATCTTTATAGGTGCTCTGGAGCCAGCGCATCACAGCTGGGCACGGCAAGGCTCCGCCACAGTTGATTTGTCTGATCCTCGGCCCCAGCCAACTTTTTGCTTCTTCGTGCAAAGCCTCTGCGCCTGCTTGATCGCATGATGCCAGCCGATCCTGAAATCGCTTGTACAGGAGCGCCCACATCTGCGGAACACCGCCCAGCTGAGTTGGGCCGACTGAGGGCGCCACCTCAAATAGCTGACCTCCCTCCTGAAGAATGACCGTGCGGCCACCTCCTAAGATGTTCCCAAAAATGTTGTACGGGGCTGCGGATGTTGAGAGTGGAGCTCCGTAAATGTGCACCCCAGAGAAATCACTGTCACCAGTGCTTATCCTGTTGCACACGTATCTATTCAGCGCGCTGTTCTTGACTAATGCGCCTTTGGGTATGCCTGTGGAGCCGCTAGTGTACAGGATCATTGCAATCGGTTCTGGAATTGTTTCATCCATGATTGGCGTGCCGTTGCTGTCCCAAAGATCTAGCCATCCTCGCGCTACCTCACAAGCAACCTCCACGGCACTGCCGCTTACCTGCAGGACTTCCACGACCGAGCCCTCAGCCAATTCAAAGACAACGTCGTGATCCTAGGCTCCCGGTCCCTAGAAGAACAAACGTAGGTCTCTTATTGTTCAGATACTGCAACAAAAACTCCTAGTTAAATAGGCCTCCCAAAGAAATGGTTGATTGCGAGCAATTCTGAAAATTAGCAAGCAGAAAAAGTGTACCCATCGGGAGCCCAGTAGCACCCTCCTTGTTGGATCGCAACGGAGCAGCACGCAGAAGCTCGTAGCTCGAACCGACCTTTGCAGGAGCCACTTTGTCTGCCAAGTCAAACCAGGACTGCTGTGCGTGATGGGGCAATATGGCCGCCAGCCGGCATGCCAACTCGACTACCCAAGGGTCCTCAGTACTGATATACGGAACATTAACCTAAATCATATTATTCATTCCTGGTATAGGAACCCTATCTATATACTTAGGATCCTTTGGGTACCCAAGGGTCAAGAAACACCTGCCGCATGGCCAGGTTTAAAGCGTACGTCAGGCAATCGCTATCAGGTCGCCGCTGACGAGAAAGAACCCCCAGCACGGCTGTGAGCCAAACATCGCCAAATCCTGGCGTCCGCGCATCGCGAGCCAAGTCCATCAACCCAAACAAAATGCTTACTCAAGTTCCTCCCCAAAACTCCCAGGTTAGAATGGAACCTATATACCCTTCAAAACAAGTCGATAATCCTTCTCCAACTGCTTCCCATGGTGCACGTGCTTGAGCTGGCTTCACCCAACTCTCTGCCAGCTCACGCAAAGTCAATGGCCCAACCACTCCAGGTGCTGCCAATGCTGTGAGCCATTGCATATCGTGTCTGGCAAGCATGACGATGAGCTGACCCAGCTCATCATCCCACTTCTCCTTAGCCAGAAATGCTTGTAGTGCTTGCTTCACTGCGCTGGTTGCCGATGTCTTGGGCACGTTGCTGAGCAAGTCCTTGAGCAAGTCTTGGATGCGAAGCTTCAAAGAGCTCAACCAAGCGTCCCGCAACTCATCCTAAGTTCCCCAGTAACCCATTAATAATAAGATTACCCTTTTTCCTACTGTGCAGCTTAGAGCAAAAGGGCACTACTGGGGTACCTAGCATCAGACTTCCTGAGCGAAGCTCCCTGGGCCTCCATTTCGCACATCTTGCGAATGTCCAAAGCAGTCACAGACGTAAAGTTGCCTGGTGCGTCCGCGAATGCAGCCTGAACATTTGCTTCCGCGATCACTGCCTCACGAAAGGCCTCGCTCGCGAGGGAATGAATGGGAACTGCAATGCAAGCTGCACGGACAATTGCCAACAGGGCCACAATCCAGTCGACGGAGTTTCGCGCACATAGAATTACGCAGGCAGACTTGGGCAAGATGCTCTTCAAGAAGCGGGCGAGATCAGCACTGCGCTGATCTAGCATCTGCCAAGTGGTCCACAACAGATCCCCATTGACATGCTGTCCCAAGGCTGGGCGCAAAGCCAACACCTGAAATGCATTTTGAAGTGTGTCCTGCAGATTCCAGCCCTCAACTTTCCGTCTCTGCCCCGGTAACAGGGACTCTGGATCAGGCCTCAAATGTTCCAGCCCAAGGGCAGAAAAAGGTATGGGAGCAACAGACTGCGTCTTTTCTGCAAAAATGTCTACGACTGCTTGACCATTCAAGCCATACACCTGACTCACTATCAGACCACAAGACGTCTGGAATCCGTTCCAGACTTGCTCAGTTGGAACCACATCGGCTGAATCACTTGCAGCATCTGCTGCGGCAGCACTTCGGCTGACACATTCATTCACGGAGCTCATTCGTGCTGCAAAACTGACTGCAAGGGCTGATAGCTTTTGCTAACTCAATTCAGTAATTCTGAAAGGAAGACTGTGCGGTATGACAGCACCGAAGCATTCACGCGGCTACCACAACATAACTGGGATCCCTATCACGAAGTTGGGCCACTGGAACATGCAACATTCTGCAAGACAGAGGTTTCTGCCTGTGCTCAAACGGCAATGGCATGCGCCAATTTTGCAAATTCATGCGAATTTCAACCACGATATCAACAACAGTAATACTCACAAACCTAGTCAAATATAATTACTAAGAATAACAAACAGGGTCGTCATGGCAGCAATGAAACATTGATACCGTCCCACCCCGGGCTTACGCGGGGACCCTGTGCGCAAAGAGAATGTATAGTTATTATACAGGTTCTGTTCAAGGATTGTACCGGCAGCCATCTGAGATACATCACAATAGGCCTATATAAACTCAATACAAGGGACGTGCAAAGTATCACATTTTAGTTGTAATGATAGTAACAACATTGCACCTGAAAAGACTAAGGGGTAAGGATAATCACAACAACATTGGAAGCCCTAGAAGCCCTACATGATGTCTGTACAACCCCCATATCATCCCTAAATAGCCCTGGGATCCTTCAGGTTGCCGAGGGCATGGCTATTTCGAGAACCCCCAAAAACGACAAGATTCATCACCTCTACTCCTGCGTTTGGTTTTCTTTGTGATGTTTTATTACGGCTGGCTCTTGAACATGATCATTGTTATCATTATCATCATTATTTTCATCGTTATTGTCCTTAATATCATAATGTCATTACTATCATATTATCATTGTGCTTATTTCTGTTTTGGTTATTTCTGCGTCTCTACCAATGTTCTGACTTCTATATGTATTAATCTATGATTATGATGATGTTCATAGTTGCTTTGTGATTCTTATTATTGCTACTGTTTTTTTATAACTGCCACCATTGTTGTTGTTACTTGTTGCAGCCTGCCAGCGTGATTTCCGAAGGCAGCCGCAACAGCTCTCTGGCGGCCATTGGCGCTGCAGGCGTCAAACGGCCGTTCCTGGCACATGTCATCCTACTGGTGCTTAAGGGCGAGTGAGGGAGTGAATACAGGCACCTGTATAGGGGTACATATGGGGTACTGTCTAAACTCCTAGTATCCCCCTTAATAGCCCCTATATAATAGTAGTCCCCTTTCTAATCCCCCATATAACCCCCTTTAAGGAGTTTAGACTATAGCTCATATGGAGATAATGTAGGGATTATTCTAGGGATCCATTCCACCCTTTCCCCTAAACAGCAGTAAGATGAGAGAATGTTGACAACCTGGCTGTCCTTGTGGGGCACTGCGGCAGTGGGCAAGCGGCAAACTTGCTAGGACCGCCCAAGCATGGCCATACGGATTGAAGCATACAGCATTGAAGGGGCTCAAGAACGCACAGGGATTCGACATTATGAACAAAAAAACATGTGTATTTACTCATGTTTGCTGCCAACGCGGAATCCTTGGTTTGGGGCTAAAACCTCCACACCGCATGTAAGCCCCCTGCAAGATGCTCGACGTCGACCCATCCGCAGGCACTGGTGGGCTGCAGGCACACTGCGTTTCGCCAGTGTTCTCATCTTCCCAGTCTTCGCAATAAATCACGTGCCTGAGCTTCGCTGTTGCGTGATGCAAGTGCACATTGCGGCCTACATTTTTCCCAGGCGCCGCGTATCCACTTCAGATATGTGGCAAGCAGATCCCAGGATTCCAATGCATGTGAAAATCCAAGCAACACCACCTTTTGGCCGAATTATGCGTGCTCTATTGCTTCCTGAGAGCTCTTTTGCCAGCCATCCCAGCAGCATGGTTGCAGTGAGTAAGGGAAGGGAATCAGATCCTTAGCTCAGATTGCAGTTTTTCATGCCGCAAAAACCCAGTGCCAGTGGCTCGATTAACGGCCAAAGTTTTTGTATAACGCTGTGATACCATGAGCGCTGTGCCACGGTACGGTGAAGCTCAACATGAATCACCAGTTTCGTCCCAATGCACCCAAGAAAGTTACCAGCCTAGACCCTCCTCCTACCCTCTATTAGGGCCTAAGTACCCACTATTAGGGACCATATATCCCCAATTAAGGATACAAGGAGGGTCCTGGAGCTTGCTGTAGCCCGGCTGTTCCAACAACTGGGTGCCGCTCCGACAAAATCTTCCCACGGTCGCAGCTCAGCAGCGGAACGCGCAAGTGCTGCCCAAAGGCAGCCCTCCACACCTGTCAGCAATCAAGAAATAGGCATGCCACGGGTATACATTCCCGATACTGTTTTCTAATGTCTTCTACATCCAACTGAACTTAAATGCCAGAAAGTTGCCCGCGCCGTGCTCACAGGCAATCAACGCACCAGCCTCCTCAGTGCAAGCACGAATTCAAGCCGTGGTTTCTCGGTAGGGCCACGTGCTGGTAAACAGCCAGGTCTTTCTAGAAGACCCCAGCAGGAAGGACGTCAAAGGGCAAACACTTCCAACTTTCGAAGAAAGTATGTGTGTTGCCGGCTTGTGCGTATCAGAAGGAATCAATGATGCAGAAATCTTACACAATCTGCTCAAGCCCGCCAAGGCGCAGCATACAAGAGTTGCAAGACGGACCACCATGACCCAAAAGCCTGGCTTCGGGCAGGGCGCCATGTGGCACATGCAATTACGTACTATTACGTACTACTTGTGCATCCCAACCAAGGAGCTGCCACCGCTGCAGGTTGCGGTGAAACCGCCCCAGGAGGTTGTAGCCCCAGATCTCGCCAGGCTTTGGACATTGAGGCCTTGCAGGCACAAGGAACAGAACATGGGAATTGGCGTGACAAGTTGAGGGTACCAGTGATCATTATGCAGACGTGCAGGTTTAGTATGCAAAGTACAACCTAGAGATTCAAAACGCTCGTTTGACTTCGGGTCGGAGGAGGTGTAGGATACCAGGCTGCTGCGACAATTCTACGTAGAGCTTGCTGGGTGTCGGGACATTACGACGAACAAATAAAAAGTTGCGGCTCCAACTCGTGCACGAGCGCTCCGTTTGTCCATGGATACCGAAGCTTCAGACTGAAGTAACCAACCAGCACATCCATTATCCCCCACGTTTTTAGCGGGCTCTTGCAACGTGAAGACACTTTTGTAAAGCCAATAGCCGATTTTGTATTAACACGCACTGACAAATCCTTGGCTCTTTCTAAGTATCCTTGGCAGCCCGGTCACCAAGAAGCTGGCATCATCAACTTGGACAGAAACGTCTGCACGACCCACCTTGAGCAGCGCAGGAGGCGCCTGGCATCTGTTGTTGGTGAATTTCATTTGTTTTTGCCACATTTGCAGTTACTGGGCTACGTATTTTGTGATCTTTTCGCTAATGCTCTGCCCGACTATGCCAATTATAATATTAAAACCCACCCTAATTTATAATGCGGGTTTCCTGGAATTCCCAATTCTGAAATCTGCGGCCAAGACTACCTCTAAAGGGGCCAATATTAAAGTTGATTACGGCTCGGATCCTCTGAGCTAGGGGGATAACCAATTAGTAACTTGCGATGATACGCCTCACCACAAACACATCCTTCAACATCGGCGAATACCCAGCAACTCTTGTTTTTTTTTTTTACTTCTCTTCAACTTCTCTTCTATCCCCAGTACCTATTTCATGTTGCTCCCCCGCTCTGAAATTGTATCGGGAAATCAGTAGTTCTCACAGTAGCTCACCCCCATCAATACCATTTTCGCAAGGGTCGTCATGCCTCCATGCTTGCTGCATGAACCGCTGCAACACTTTGGATGCAGCTCTTGGTTGCCAAGGCCTCGGCGGATTTTAATCTTCCGCATTCCAAAAGTGGAATCGGCACCAGATGGGGTCCCCTGAGCAATGAAAAATCATGGGGCCTATCTATTTCACACGCCCCAATTTTGTTTGCAATGCCGAGATACTGTGGGTCCGCCCAGCAATTTTGCGGCTCGGCTCCATGGACCTTTATTGCATGTTCGATTTTGTTGGTTGTTGTTGTGGCGGTTGTTGCTGTTGATGCTGCAGCTGCTACTGTTGCTGCTGCTTTCGTGGGCGCCGCAGTTTGTTGCAGAACTGTTGGTTGGCAAAAACTTGCATCATGACGAACATCACCCCATGTGCCAAGCGAATGCGAGAAACCTTGGCACTTCAGGGTCACCGCATCCATCACTAGCAAGGACGCCCAGGCAACACCTGGGTTGGCCCTGAGACCGGCTTGGAAAAACAAAAGTCTCATATACCCGAATATACTGTGTAGAAAATATACAAATGCGAACCCAGATTCCGGATCCAGGAGCATGCTGTCCCCACAAACGAAGCAAATGAACCTCTTGCATCAGCGCGCCTGGGTTTCCGCCATAATGGACAGGCCAAACCTCAGCAAGCGAGGCAACAGCAACGTATGCAAACGAACAATTCCCCAAATTTGTGGGCTGAAAATGAAACTGGCCAAGTCGCTGCTATGATGGGGCAGTCGGTGCCATTGCGGAGCATTCCAGCTGCTGCCAAACTCTTCGCAGCGAGGGGGAAGGAGTTGGTGATTGCATTACGCCAAACTGTCTGCAGTTCTGTCCTCGCACGCTGTGCGCCTTTCAAAATCTCTGGAGAAATCCGGGATGCGATCCCAGCAACCAACGAGAACGGCCATTTCCACAAGTCGCGCATGTCACCAGATGTCGGACAAAACGACATCCAAACATGATTACGACCTCGGCCTTTGGAAACCGATATAGCGGTTTCCACAGCCATGCCGCAAACGGATTCGGTGCTTCCTGCCAGGGCAAAAATGCCAAAAACAAAACAAAACATGTTGCGTGTTCATTGTTTGCCCTAGCACAGCTAATCAAACAACCGGGTTCTCCCGCCCAGCAAAAGCTGTGCTATAGACTGCAAGGCGCGCTTTCACTAGAAAATCTCGGAAGTGTAAGGCGTCAGTGCCAAAATCGTCAATTCCAGAAAACACCAAGAGTTGAACATGCAC